GGACGGCTGCGAGTGGCTGTGTCCGGCCGCCCTGCTCACCCTCTTTGCCTCCTTCGCTTGTGCCAGGCCGCTGTGAGCGGGCTCAGCTTGTCTGTTCAATCCCGTCCAGCCCTGGTGGAGCTCCTGCGGGGAGGACTGCCAGAAAAAAGGAAAGTTTGCTTCTTTCCAAGCCTTCACTTGGGCTGTCACTCATGCGTGGCCATGTCAGTCCTTCTCCTGGCTCTGGAGGTGCCAGTGCAAAGATCTGGGTAGTAAGGTGCTGCCAGACTGTCCACCACTGCTCCCCCGACCCTGCAATAGCTTTCCACGTACAGGAGCATGATGCTGGGGTGTGTGTTAATGTTGAAGCCATTCTGTTACTGCCAACAACTTAATATCAATGAGCTCGTTGTGTCGGAGCTGGTGAAGATCCTGCTGTGAGAAGGAAAGCAGGTCTTCTGTTTTCCAAGAGAGGTCCCTTATCACTCCCCTGCCCAGGCTTCACAGAACGCTCAGCCATCTGGGCGACTCCTTGCAGAAGGGGATGGGTAGGAGCAGGGTAATGTGGAAACAAACTGTGTCTTTGGCTTCAGCTCCCCTTCCACCTTTTTACTCTCAGCCCTGCAGACTCCTGACTCAAAAAGTGGCAGGGCACAGGCTGCTTTCTTTTCTGAAAGTTCTCCTGAAGGTTTGTACTTTGGGCTCCCATGTCCAAGAAAATTCCATTGGAGTGGCAGAACTGGAGCTTCCACGCTAGGCAGCACTGCTAGCAGGCTCATCCTTTTCCCAGAGATCAAGCAGTTTTTGGTTGAACAGTTGTGAGGAATATTACTTTTATTTTCCAAAAGCACAGAACTTGTTTAACAGTGTTCTAGAAGAATGTGCTTTGCTTCAGGTGCCTTCAGATAAACCAATATACAGGTAATCAACTGCAGTTCGAGAGGGTATATTCTCTTGTCACATGGAAGAACAAGTAATGTAATGTGTAGTTAGACATTTGCAATGTGCTAAATCATCTTCATAACTAAAGGCTATTTTTTTTTTCCTTCCTCAGCAAGAGAACATGAGTTAAGCAGGGAGGAAAAGAGGAAAGCCCAACAGAGGAGGAGGAAAAGGGAGAGGAAGAGGAGGAGGAGGAAGAGGAGGCGGCAGCAGTGGCCGTTCAAACAAGCCTCAACTTGGTGGAAATAGGAAATGTTCAACCAAAATTTGGGACGATGGAGATGATTTTTGTCTCTTCGAGGAACCAAGGCTGGAATCCAGGTTTTTTTGTTAATTTGGAGGGGTTTGGCATAGAGATGTTTGGCATACTTTGGGGGTGGTTTTGGACCTCCTTCTGAAAGGAGGTTGTAGAGAGGTGGGGGCAGATCTCTTCTACAAGCGACAGTACAAGATGAAACAGCCTCAAGTTGCGCCAGGGGAGGTTTAGGATGGACATTAGGAAAAATTTCTTCACAAAAAGGGTTATCAAACATTGGAACAGGCTGCCCAGGGAAGGGGGGGAATCACCGTCCCTGGAGGTATTTAAAAGATGGGTAGATGTGGTGCTTAGAGACATGGTTGAGTGATGGTTTTGGCAGTGTTAGGTTGATGGTTGGACTCGGTGATCTTGAAGGTGACTTCCAACCTAGATGATTCTATGATTCTATGACATCTTTGAATATACAGAAGAGTGAAGGGGTGATGAAGCTGTTTCAGTATGAAGCCGTTTTTACGTGTCTTTTTTGATGAATATTTTTAACATTTTATGGCTAGGACAATTGTTTGGTTTTTTTTTTTTAAATATTAGAACCTCTGATTTTCTTATTTGGTCATAAAATAATGTCAGAGCGTCTTTGATCAGAAAGCACTAATAAACACAGGATGTTAATTTTTGTGTATTACAAAGCAGAAGCTGGGCCATGGAAAATAAGCAATTTAGAATGAATTTAGTATCCTGAAAGTGTTCTGACTAATCTAGCTTAGAAATATGTGGTTGTACTGTAGTCTGAGAAAAGCTTTACCTAGCAAGGTGTTTATTATATCACTTTGGATTTGTCATAGGATAAAATACATATGTGCATGCTTGTGTATGCGCAGATAGAGTCATACACGTCCTGGTCATGTAAGAATGAGCCCAACTGAGTAACACTTAGGTGATGGACTTGTTTTATTTCGGTTTTCCTGTTTTGAACTACAAGGTTGGATCGTAACACATCCCAATTCAGTCCAGATCACCTGAGCCAGGCAAATAAGTCATTGTTATGTTCTGTTTCAATTTTTAGATCAAATGCTCCTGCCAGAAGAGGAGGACAAACGAAACAGAGACCCGAAGCGAGAATGCCCCTGCAGACCATACACATGACATCAGAGAATCAGAGAAGAGTGAAAGAACTTCTTCAAGAGCTTCAAGGGCAGGAGCTGGCTCCTGAATCAGAGTTAGTTTAAATGGAGGCACTACTTCTAGCTCTTCTAGATAAGCACACTTTAACAGGCACACTATTAGAAATGAAAACAGTATTCTTTTTTCCCTTAACTTTCCATATGTTCTGAAATCCCGCCACTTTTGCCTGCTTTGTTCTTCTACAATATTAACTCTGGGAAAAGGGTAGCAGAATCCTCCATTTACATGGATGATTTCAAACTGCAGAGGCAGAGTTTTGTGTCTACTGAATAGTATAATTTTGTTTCATTTTAATTTGATAACTCTTTTTATCAGAGTAGCTGGTTCTGGTGAAGACGACGAACCTGATTACCTTGATGATGAACAGTGCTGGTCAACAGATCAGGAAGTTTCTGACATAATACCAAGGTCGTCTGCTGAGCCAGCTGAGCACAGAATTGTGGAAAGCGAAGTGTCTTCATTTGCTGTGCACAAACTCTCCAGGTGATGCTTTTCAGTGCATTAATTTGTATCGTGAAGAGGTAATTCGCTAGTCTCGATACTGTAAGCCCTCAGTGCTTGGACTTCCTCTTGACTCCAGGGAAGTTCTATGTGCAGAACTGATGAGTTTGTATCTCCTACAAGTTTAATTCTCAACTAGATGAATTTAAAATAATTGTTTTATGGAAATAAATTGCTCCAGCCTTTTTTCAGTGAAGTTTTCAGTTCTTTCTCTAAGACAATGAAACAGATATTGGGAAAGCTCAGGGACCATTACTACTATATGTATGTTTCTTGCTGGTAGGTAATGTTTCAAAACCTTGTAAGTGTTCTTCATCCATTTTGCTCAGATAGGAGCATTTATTAAATATTTTTGCTTTGTTTGAGAGTGTTTTGTATGTGTTAGGACTCAGCTTTTCTTAAAGAGTCTAATTTATATAGTTCAACTGGGAAATCTAATCCTGTAGCTATTATGTGCTACATTCTGAGGTGTGAGATAGTTGCCACATAAACTAATTTGTCACCATATAAATGACAGGCTAGCTTCCACAGACTCTGAATTACTGTCTGCCACTGTCATTTAATGGCATAAATACTTTGGTATGATTTTTTTTTTCCCCCCCCAGTAGTAGTAATAGTATCTCATGCCATACATGCTTCCTTACTGTAAGCCTGATTAAGCAGATCTGTGATTATTTTGCTTCATACAAGTCTCTGTTACTTATTTGTTGCCACGTTGTCTCTGTTTTGTTGCAGGTATGGTTTTGACAGTGAGCGCTGTAGGACAGTACTAAGATCCTGCAACGGCAATATTGGGGCATCACTGGAGTATTTGCTATTGCAGTGTTTTACCGAAAGATACGGAGAGAAGATGCAAATTTCTGCAACAGCTGCTGAAGCCAGTCAAGAAGAATGTTTAGAACAGAGACAAGAAGAGGCTTTTGCCCTCCGGTCAATCTATGGAGAGAAATTTGTAGAAAGAATTCAAAACCGAGTTTGGACTTTTAGTTTGGAATTGGAGTACATAGCAAACAAGTTCAGCAAATCTAAACAAAAGGGTGGTTGTACTAGGGATGCAGCAAAGCAGACTTCAAAGGAAATATGTAAATTTTATCTCCAAGGAGGCTGCAGGTTTGGTTCAAAATGCAGATTTGGACACGAGTTCCCTCCAAACCACCCACTAAAACCAGCCAGGAACCCTGTAGATGATGCTCATCTCAGAGCTAACAGTGATGGTCCTGTATATGAACTTGAAGTAAGATTTCCTGAAGAAAACAAGTATCCACTCCAGGCGCCTCTTGTGGCATTTTATTCCACTGACGAGAATCTACCTTTTGCTTGTCGTTTACACATTGCTGAATTCCTCTTTGGAAAGGCCTTGATAGCTGCAGAGTCTAACGAACCAGTGGTGTACACCTTAGTGACTTGCTTAGAAGATGAATCTGAAATAAGTGAGTTGCTTAAAAATACTCACCACAAGTATAGTGTTCCTCCTATGTCCCTGCTGGCAACACCTTCGGGAAAGCTACAGACAGAGAGTACATCTGGTTCAAATCGAGTATCTGAAGGTACACTAAATTTTCCTCTACGGTTTCTGGGCTAAGAGCAGTCAGAATGATTAAAAAAAAAAAAAAAAAAAAAAAAAAAGGAGAAGGTAGAGAGCCCAATTCAGGCATCTGTTCCAAATCTATTTCTGGAGATAAAGGTCACGTGGTGATCCAGATCCGTAATGTGTCTGTGCCTCAGGAAGTCTCTTCCATAATAAAGCTGCAGCAGAGACGTTTTCTGCTGGCAAGAACTGAGTTAAAGGATCACAGAGGTAATGAGTTTGGGTTGGCAGAGTGAACGATGCCTGTTACCACACAGTAAAAAGCCATCGAGAGATGTGGTGTGAGCTCACCAAAGCTGGCCAGAGAAGTGTGCTTGGAAGGGGAACAGGGAAGGTTGTTTGCAAGCTTTCGTGCATCTGCTACTCATCGTTTCAGAAACATCTTTTTAGAAAAAAAAAAAATTACTTAAAATTACCAATAGCTCCTCAAAATTGATTTTGTGAATATGGCTTTAAGGCTAAGTCAATGTTGCAGGCTGTTCTAGAATGTCGTTCAAGGTATCGTGCCTTTTTCTGCAAGCAATTGCAACTAGGTTGATTTCACAGAGGGAGAGTTGGGACTATATCACTTGTGACAGGGTGACAGCAACTCTGTGGCATAGATGACTTTCAAGCTCTGAATTTCAAACCTGTTTTGTCTAAGGCAAACTTTCTTCAAGAGAGTTTTCAAGAACAACTGTGTCACGTTTTGGAGCACCTAAATAGTGACAGCCTATTTTTTTGTTATAGTAAAACAAATTCCTCCATTTTTTTAACAGCTCCACAGAAAGTCAGAAATTGAAATCAGTTTCCAAATAATCCTCCTTATGTTATAAAATCTTCCTTATGTTATAAAATACCTTGTTTAGATAAACGTAGCATTGAGCTAAATGCGTGTCCTAAACAGTCCTGCAGACTCTTGGCTCCAGTCTAACAAGGTTCTTTGTCAAGAATGCTCCTGGAATACGTCTCTTTTCTTCAGTGCTGATGAGGTCCTCTTCCTTCATAACAAGACTGCCTATAACTGTACATTTTTTGTCTCAAGCCTCAACAGTGTCAGAGCCTCAGG